CCCATGGTTGGGAGCACCTGAAAGCACTGAGGTTATGAACAACTTCAGTTTAATTAGCAGAAGTGGATCCCCTGGGAGCAGCACCAGGATTTGGGCTCTTTCCCATAAACGTGCCTTGCAAATTCCATCTGCTTTCCCCAACCCTTGCAGTGACCTGGGAGCAACGCGTGTGTCACAGCTGTCAGCGCTCAGACTCCTCCTGACCACGGCCCGTTTGGAGACGCTGTGAGTACACAGAGGCCAGGCTGCCAGCAGAATGCGCTGCTGAAATACGTGCTCTGCTTGGGAGAGCAGCCAGCTCCCCCCTACATCGGAATGCCCCCGCCCCACAAGCCTAAAGTTCAGCATTTCTTATTGGGGACCCCCAGACTCATCTGCTGGCAGTCGGAATTTCACTGTTTCGGTTTTTCAAAGGGAAGTTTTAAGTCAAGGCAGTGGCTTGCTTCTGTTTCAGAGTGCGTTTTGGCATTGGTTCCGCTCTCAAAGGTAAAACAAAACCATGTGGAATCTCACCGAGAAACCTGGAGAGCACCTCTGTCTGCGTGGGGAAGTTTTGCAGAGCGATCCCAGTCACGCTGAGATGCGCCGCCTGCAGCCTCAGCTGACGCACATCGAGAAACGGAGCTTTTCTCCCCTTTCTCTGCAGCAAATTGCCCCGAGCTGCCGCCTGCTGCCTCTGCCAGGAGCGCCGTGCTGCCAAGGCACTGTGCAGGAGCGTCCGCTTCCACCGGGAGCTGTGTGCCAGCGCCCCGCAGTGCGGTAGGCTCCCAGCACCGCATCGGCGGGCTCCTCATCTCCCTGATCTCCCCCGGCTTTGGGAGATGCTGTCGTGTGGCTGTGCTGTGTGAGTTCCCTCCTAGGCAATCCCAAAGCAGCTTGAGGAGCTCTGTCCCTGCAAAGCCTTTAATTGCCCCCACGCGGCTCCGATGAGAGCTGTGAGGTCTGAATGCACCCCCTGAGCCAGGGGCACAAAATCCTCCCTTTGGAGAACAATGCTTGGAAACATAAACAAGGGCTGGAAACACACAATTGCACCCATCTGCTGCCAGGGGCTAAAGGAGGAAAAGTGCCTTGCAGGGCAGAGCAAACACGCCAGCCTCCAACACACACAGAGCGCTCAGCCAAGGAAACCATGTGTGCATGGTGCTGTTCCCAAGCAGGGGAAGCACGGCCTGCTCACAAACCCCGCACATTCCCCCAGACCTTCCCAGTGCCACCACAGCATGGCTTGCCACAGCCCTACTGGGTAACTCATCTGTTAGCGGGATGAGGACGAGCAAACCTCACTGCATGGCCAGGGCATCCTCACGTGTCCCATTTCCCATCAGCTGCACAGCAGAAAGGCCCCAACACCTCCATCATCTGTAATGCTCCCCACCACGTCGCTCGGTGCCGGCACCGACAGAGATCTGGCTGTGTGTGCAGCCTCAGTGCGGGGCTGGGAGATGCTCCCCACTGCAGGCTCACTGCGTTCCCTCTGCATCAGTGCTCTCCTGGGCTCTGCCTCACCCCAACCATCCGCTCTGCCCTGATGTGTTTGTTCTCCTGGGGTTGCAGCTCACGAGGAATCCCCAGCAGAGATGCGAGCAGAACTGAGGAGAGCTGCACAACGCGGCGCGGTGCTGCTCCTCAACCCCAGCAATTCTTCACTTGGAGACAAAGAAACCGTAACACTTAATGTTCTCCTGAGCCCTCACAGTGCTGACGGGGTCCTCAGGAACTCCAATAATCACATCTCCAGAATGAGCCCCCAGTCCCCTCAGCACCCACGCAGGCAGGAGCTGCACAGCGCTCTGCGTAAGGGCCGGGAGAGTGGGAATGGGGGGAGAAAACTCCATTTCCCAGCAACAGAGCTGAAAGAGGAGCAGCAAAGCACCGCCTCACAGCTGCCAAGACCTGTGGCACACAAGGTACTGGAAGCAAAAGAAGGAGCCCACGTCCCCACAGAGCCCAGCGGTGCAGGCAGCTCGGAGGATGAGGACGCAGCAATGGAAGGAGACCTCTTTGAAGGAGAAGTGGAGCACCGCCTGCGCTCGCTGGTCCCCAACGGAGCCCTGCGGGGTTTCATCGCCCGCGTGGCACGAGCTGTGAGGAAGGACTGCCAAGTGCCCCACCTGCAGCCCTCCTGCACCAAGCTGCTGGCACAGACGGGGCAGCTGGTGGGGCTGCTGGGCAGGCAGAGACCCACAGTGCAATGCCCAGTGCAATGGGGGAACAGCTCCATTGGCACAGAGAGCAGGAACCGGAGTGGGGAGGTAGGGCAGAGCCAGTGGGATCCTTTGGGGGTGGAAATGGGATCCTGTGGGGGTGGAAATGGGATCCTGTGGGGGTGGAAATGGGATCTTATGGGGCTGGAAATAGGATCCTATGGGGGTGGCAGTGGGGAGGGCTGCTTTCTCTCTGTGATTTGCTCTTTCTGTCCCAGAGGACAGCAGTGCACAGCTCCAGCAGGAGGGTCCTCTTGGCGGTGTCGGTGTCTCTCATCATCACCACTTACATCACAGCCATTTGTCTCATCGAGGTGGGCACGGAGCTCATCGCAGCTTAGCATGGGGGGCAGAGTGCACATCTGTCCTGCCTATGGCATCCGTGGGCATCGTGGGGGATGTGGGGCCAGCATCCACGCTGCACAGCGCGGTTGGCCGTCCCCCATCTGGAGCTGCGCTTTGCAGCTTTCCTTTCCCAACTCCTTTGGGGCTGTCATCACAGCCTCCCCCAGCCCCACATCTCCCCGGCCCCACATTGCTGCACTCCCACATCTTCCCAGCCCCACAGCCCCTCCTGCCACGCTCTCCTCTGCCGCTGCCCCTGCACTGATTGCAGCAGCCCCTGCTCCCCTCACAGAGCGCAGCACGTGCCCACATGTCAGCCCTGTTTTGCAGCACACAAGAGGCCCATCCTGACGTTGGGACTCCTCTCTCCTCAACCTCCAGGTCTGCTGCCCCAAACCCACAGCTGCCTCCCAGCCCCACAGCACCAGCAAGTCACGGTGGAGACGGTAATTAATTCATTACCCCCTGCCCCCCAAACTGACCCAGTGCGTCCGCCCACATTCTGGGCCTGTTTATGATGGGCAGCTGAACCTGAGCCTCCGCTTTTTATCCTTTCTCTCCCTTTTTTTCAGGTTCTTTAAGAAGCTGTTGCCGCACCGATGGCGCAGGAACGATGAGGCACAGGTGATTGCAATGCGCCGTGCCCCACAGCTGCCCCACAGCTGCCCCCACACTGACACGTCCCATTCCCCACTGCTTCCCAGGGATTGCACTTTGCAGGGCGCATGAAGGACGAACCCAAGTGGCTCCGAGATCTCTACATGCCTCTGGATGACCTGCAGAGGAACTCCATCTATCAGCTGTACCAAGAGCCTGAGGAGGAGGAGGAGGAGGAGGAGGAGGAGGTGTTCAGCAGGGCAAAGCCAACGTAAGATGGGACGGTGGCCACGTCTGTCACCCAGCACCACCACGAGCAAACGTGCTCCATTTCCTGCTGCCCCTCATCCCCACAGGATGCCCGAGGAGCAGCACAGCCCCAGCACCTCCACCCCATGAGGCCCAGGAGGGTCCAGCAGGATGGGGGCACTGAGCCCTGAATGGCTCCAGGGGCAGCGCAGCGGTGCACAGAGCCCAGCACGGGGTGCCCTGCTACTGAGTGGGATGGATGCTTCGCTCCAGCAGCGCTGGGTTTGCTATTAAAGGCTGTAGGGTGTTCTGCCACGTGTGTGTGTGGGGGGGAGTGCATGTGAGTGCATGGGTGTGTGTGGTGTGCAGCTCTGGGGGGTTGCACTGTGCAGGGTGTGTGTCTGAGTGCAGGTCTGGGGGGGTGCACATAGGGGGGTGCACATGTGGGTAC